CGCCTCTCACCGTCTCGCGTGCAGGGGTCGCCGCCTCACCGGGTCGGGAAAGGCCAAAAGGGGGGAAGCGGGGAACGGGATTTGGGATTTGGGAAAGGCTGAAAGGGGAGCGGGAATGGGAAAGGGCCAAAGGGGGAACGGGAATTTGGGCCGAGCAGACAACTGGACAAGGGAAAGGGGAACTGGGATTGGGTTGCATGGGCCCAAGTTAATAAAAATTATTATATATATATATATATATATATATATATATATATATATATATATATATATATATATATATAATCACTGGGGGGGGCACCCCCTAGCCCTAGAGTGGGTCCGCCCCTGGTCATGTCGAGAAAAGAACCCATTTTTGAATAATGGTCCAATTCTTTTTTACTTACAACTTGAAGTCCATAGTAGAAATAGAACATCAAGTCATAAGCATCCATCAACTGTGCAAGACACTTTCTCTGTAGGCCTTTATATCGATCCCAAGCCTCACTTATTGTTTCCATCGGAACTTGCCTGAAATTTTGAATTAAAGTTTTGATGTGTGCAACCGTCGATGGAGGAAAATACTCATGCATGAACGCCTGATGAAGAGCATTCCAGGTGGTGAAATGACTAGGTGGAAAAGAGTTTAACCACCGAATAGCCTTATCCCGAAGAGAGAATGGGAATAAGATAAGCTTCACAGTGTCAATTGGGACTCCACTGATCCGGAATGTTTGACACGTTCTATTAAACCACAACATATGCACCATGGGATCTTCATGTTTCAAACCGCCAAATTGATTAATCGATATCACTTGAATGATATCAGGATTAATCTCAAAATCAGTGACATCGATTGGCGGAATGCTGATGCTATCTTCCTCAAAAAAGTCCAAGGTTAAGGCTTCAAGCACTGTTACCCTCTCCCTCATCATGATGAATTTTTGTTCAGACCATCTCAATGTTCTTTTAGGTTAGAGAGCAAATGATAGCAACTTGCGATGCTTGAAAGAGAGAGATTTTACAAACTGATCCTGCAAACTTGAGAAAACAACACAAACAAAAAAAAACAAAAAATAAAGGAGAAAGTCTCACTAACTCGGGTTCGCCTATGCCAATAATAAAAACCATCTTACAACCGTGCCACTCCCCGGCAACGGCGCCATTTGATAACCCGCTTTCACGGCGTTGTAGTAAAACGGAGTCTAAGCTTTCAGTTTTTCCCTGAGTATCGTGTCTCTGAGGAGTGGCGGAGGGAAGTGTTGGTTTCAATATCGGTCACCGGTTAGTACGAATCGTTGCAAGCTTTCTCAAACGATTAATTGTGATAATGATTAAGTAAATAAAATTAAACAACAAAAGTAGTAGCGGAGAATTTAATTAAATGACATTAATGAGTAAACTAAAACTAGTGAACATGCAAAATAACTTGAGAGAGAATATTAACTAATAAAAAATATTAAACTAGCAAACATGTGGATGAGTAAAGTTTCGAAAATAAAATACTTAAAAGGTAAATTCAATGTGACTAGTAACGAAAAATTAACTAATTAAAAGTGGGGTCTAAATTTGGAATTAAGGATTTTGGGTGTCTTTGATTATGAACAAAAATGGAAAATTTTCACTAATCTAAAGATACTAAATATCAATTCTCATAGACAAGAAATTAATATTAATTGCCCTAACATGTCCTATTTCTAGGCTTAGCTTAGGGTGTGTGAGATGTGAGCTAAAATTAATTCTAAACTCATAGACAAGAAAGTATTAATTTTCCCAAAATTCACAAGTGAAGTAATCAATTTCACAAATTACTCTTTCAATTTCATCTCAAACAACTAGTTTTAAAAATTAGAGAATTTTCCCAAATTCAACTCAATATTCAAGAACACCCACTAACCTTAACTTTATCCAAATCCAAATCCTATGGAAATTTAGCCTAACCTGCTTAGCAACTAATCACATTAATGGAGGAGCTAAAGTAATACAAGGAAACATATAATTCAAATACAAATTCATTCGACATAATAATAGTTCAAAATCCAACTTAAGAGTAGTTCCAATTGATAAATAATCCAAGAGTGAAATTTAAAGCTTACTCAAACATGAAATTAAAGAAGAAATTTAACACAAAACCTTAACAACTAAGATTGAAAAATGAATGAACATGAAGTAGCTAGCTGCGGTTTCTTCCCTTCCGGTCAGCTGCTATATCTTCTCTGCCGCGGGTGAATTGTGTTTTTTTTGGCCAGCTGCTCTCCCAAGTCTTTTTATGTTTTTTATGACCAAGAGCTGCTGGTCTGGATTCTTTTCTCCACCGTCAGTACTCAGTAGTGTCGGTAGCCTTAGTTTATCTTGCCCATCAGGATCATTTTTGGGCTGTCTTTTTTTCATTTCTTTTTATTTTCTTTTCTTTTCTTTCGTTTGCTTTTCTCTTTTCACGCAGCTTAGCTGCAGTTAGTTTTTTTCTTTTTTTTTTGCTTTTCTTGATTAATTAATGCACTTCATTTATTAGAAAAATAATGCACTTCATTTGTTTATTGTATCAAGAAAAACATTGAAATATAATAGAATGCTGAAATTTGATAGCACAAATAAGAAGAAAAAAACATAAAATCAATCCAAACACTTGAATTAAACACAAATCACTCAAAAATGTAAATTTCTACGTTAATTTCAAACATAACAAAAATGCAACAAAAACGTAGAAAAATGTATAATTTGTCCTGAGTTTGACAAGAAACGCTATAAAAAGTGAGTGAAAATATATGAATAAATCAGACTTATCAAAATACATCATGAAAAGAACTGATACCTAGCACACAATCCCAAATATTGCATTTGAGTAACACAATAGTGCAATAGTGAATTGTACGAATGCATATGAGTGAGCAAAATATGCAAATGTTAAGATAAGGTGGACGGGGATGTTGGATCAAGCCAATGAAGAACACTAAAAAAACAATAATCTTAAAATCAAGGAATGCAAGGCTTGCTTTTCAATGTATATCTTATTCGAGAATAACATAAAGCTTTTATAGCCATTACAAGATGATAACAACCCATACGAACCACTACTAGATAATGCCTAAAATAGTGGATTATTTGACTAAATGATAGCCAAAATACTTAGCTAACCAAATGACCAAATCAACTCCAAAAACTTAGGTAACAAACATGAGATTTAAAATGAAATAAATAAATAATTAAATAGATAGGTTTCCATGTATGCATGGCTGCAGTAATTGTACGTGCGCCGCAGCTAGGGTAAGTCGGCAATTTTGGGGTTGGCGAGTTTCCTTCGCTCGACGATCGGTGCAGGGGCTAAGGAACGCCGTTGTGGTTCTTAGCAATTTTCCTTCGCTCGGCGATTTTCCTTCGCAACTAGTGTGCGGACTTTCTTAATCGGCGCAGGGGCTAAGGAACTCTATTTGTAAACCGAACGAGCAAGGGTTCAGGGTTGCAGGGTTGCGGATTGCAGGGTTGCGGCTGATTTCTTCTGGGCTGCCTGATACAGTATTGCGAAGGAAGGCAATCCAATATGGGCGACATTAACGAGATGGAGGAGGTAAATAGACTAACAAACGCGTATGGAAGATTGGAGATGGAGGAGGAAGGTGAAGTCCTTCTCGTGGCGGCTAAAGCTTCTGAGATCGCGGAGGTATGGCTGACCTTGGTTCGAACAGTCACTTCTGAAAAGTCGGTACGATTTTCTTTTTTTTCATGACACTATGACCAATGTGTGGAAGCCTACTAGAGGTGTTACTATTATTGAGATAGGTGCACAAAGATAAATGTTTCAATTTTACAATGAAAATGATATGATACGTGTGTTGGAGGAAGGAACGTGGACCTTCGACCATAACCTAATTATGCTTGCTAGGTTAAAGCAAGGTGATATGCCTTTGCAGATTCCGCTGAATAGGGCTGATTTCTGGTTACAGGTTCATGACGTACCAATGAGATTTTTTTCAGTTGAAAATGCTATAAAAATTGGGAATTTTGTAGAGTGTTTTATCACGGTGGATGAACAGAATTTCTCTGTGGAATGGAACCCATACATGAGAGTAAGGGTCAGTATTGATTTGAATAGGCCTCTTAAGAGGAAATAGTTTCTCCAATCACACAAATGGGAAAGCTTTTGCGTTAAATTTAGGTATGAAAAATTGCCTAGTTTTTGTTTTGCTTGCGGAGTTATAGGTCATGCATAAAGGTTCTGCCCGCATTATCCTATTGGCATGGACAAAAGTGGAGGCTTTCGCTTTGGACCTGAACTGAGAGCTTCAAAAGGAAACACATCTGGGGGGAGGCAACAAATGGCTAGTCCCAGTTGGCAAAGGGAAAGGAAAAGACGAAGAAGAGGTATTAGGGATGGCTAGTTCGGATGCAGATGGAAGACCGCAACAGGAGAAGGACAATGCTCAGACAGGAGATAAGGTGGAACAAAAGCGCAGGCATGTGGATCACGAGGAACAAGAAACAACACATAAGGATATGGACGTGGAGATGAGCATAACAAAAAACGGGGAGGGGGCGAACTACAATGCCCGCCTGTCAGGCAAATAGAAGATGAGTTGGGGAAGACACAAGGGATGAAAGTTTATAGCATCCATCACCTGGAATGTTATTTTTGTTGCACTTTTTTTCTATTTCAGAACTCAATTGTCCGTTATTTTTTTACTTTCATTTACAATAAGGATGTGAGTATGGTAGGTTGTGGTTTTCTGAGTAGTTTTTTTTATGGATGCAATCAAGTTGTCACGGCCGCTAATAACTCCTTTGCTCTCATCATTTCAGCGATTAGTCTGACTCCTATTGAGGTGGACTATTTTATGTCTGGACATGACATGAGATGACCGATGAGCTCTTGATATTGTGGATCTAATGGGAATATTTGTTTTTGAATCTTGATTGATGTAATGACTCTTTTGATTCTCATCTAAACTATTTCATTTTAAAAAAATGTCTGCATGGCTGCATCATACTCTATTCTGGTTCAATCTTTGTCACATTCAAAGGGCGGAGGCGGAAAAGGTAATAAAACATACTAGTACTACATTAACTCTTAATTTGACTCTTTATCATCGATGCTTTTTTGGCAAATTGTCCTCTATTTTAAAGTAATCCATTACAGCGAAAATGGTCTGGACGGTGGTGAGAAGGAGGAGATAACCGGCTGCGCAGAGAGACATTGTGGACCAAGGGGAGCTGAAGTATTTGGCCTTGACCTCGGCCAAATAAACGTGCCGACGGATGCCGCAGTGCTCCTTCACGCCGGCAAACACCCCCTTCAAGTAGCTTTTGCTGAGATCGGACGCCGCCTTCTGCCCGAGCTTGCCCACGAAGGCGGCCACCTCATCCTGCGTCGCTAAATTGTGGTCCAACACCTTGGCCTCACACAGAATGTCCACGTCTTCGCCCGTGTCCACAAGGCGGTCCAGAAACCCGGCGTAGTCCGACACCAGCTTGTCTCCCCCCTCATGGCACTGCTCGAACGCCACGCAGTTCAGCAAGAAGGCGCACATCGTGTCGTTCAGCTCCAGCATCGGCATCGAGATCACTCCCCGACTGAATCCCACCGGCAGGAAACTCGTCCTCTCACTTTCGTTCAACTTCACCTCGATTCCGGCCCGGCGCAGTGTCGAGATGCTCTGGAAGTTGACGGCTCCAGAATCTCCAGATGTTTGAAAATTAATTTCGCTAACGTTATTTTGAGGACGAATATCTCCAACACCAGATTCGGGTACCCTCTGCCCGCGGCGGGAATCCTTCGGGAAATAAGTTTTCCGTACTAAATCAAGAAGATGTAGCCCTCTCAAATCGCCCCGAAAGGATTTCATGATCATCTCCGGGTTCCTTCCGAATTTACCCGAGGTGTTGAAGAAGGTGAGGGCCGTGACAGCCAAAGTGCTGGTGACGCCGGTGGCTTTCAAAATATCGCCGGGCATTTTAGTGAGCGTGAAGAGTTTCTCTAGCACGAAATATGGTATTTGGTTCTCGAGGCAGAGGAAGTCGTCGTGGAGACTGAAACGTATCCATTGCATTGATCGAAATGGATCGTCTTTCTCGAAGGGAGCCACCTCGCTGAATGCCCGAAACATTTCAACCACAAAGCACCCATCAAGAACCAACATCTCTACAAACTCATGATCTTTGAGAGTTATACTTATATCCTCCGAATAGGATTCTCTGGCCTTTGTCTCCAATGTTCTGACCGCTTCCACGTACTCCTCCAAACCCACACTCGTCCTCTTTATCACTCTCTCCAAGAACCTCCACTTGTGTTCCTCCATCTCCTTCAGATGAGGCTTCCCGTGGTGGTACGGACCGATTGAGACCGTGCGGGGATGATACAACCCGGCATTGTCTTTGGAATTGGTGAAACCTTGGGGTACCCGGAAAATGCAGCAATCGTATCTGCCCGCCGATTTCTTGATATATCTCGGCGATTCCAACAGCTTACTTCGCATCACTTCTATCACTTTGTCTACATCCACTTGCCGCTCTTCTGTGGAGTTTCTCCCATCCATAATGTTTGATTCAGATTGTGGGCAATACTCCAAACTTCAAACCATTTTTTATCCGATTAATAGAGCTGGTTCCTAGCTAGGGGAAACAGCATAATTGTACTCCGTCCTTGTTACTTGAAATAGTTTCACATACACAGTCATATAGTACACTCCCTTAGCTGTTTCCACGTAAAATGCAGTTGAGCATGGTAGTCGCAGTGGGATTTTTTAGGGGTGGGCAAAATAACCACTACCGAACCCCATCAGAAAACGGAATTTCAAACGGTTCTAAAAAATTTTGCCCCGAACCGGATCAGACTGATTCCAAATCATGCCATGACCGATTCTCATAAAATGAGAACCGGTACCGGACCGAACCGAACCGAATTATAATTTTATTAATTTATATATTTTATAATTATATATACATGTATATCATATTACTATTAATTACTTTGATTACTCATTTGCACTTTGCTAATTGCTAGTTAACCGGATCGGTAAAAATGAATAGTATTATATGAAATTCATTAACTATGTTATTGTTAGTTATTTATGTTTTGTACTATTATAGTTTATAAGAAATTCATTAACTATATAATACTACCTCTATCCTAAAAAACTTTTCCATTTTCAAAACTTTGACCAATTATATTTTTTATTGAGAATCATTTATAATATAAAAATTATATGAAAATGTTCTTTGTTAAAAATACTTTCATAAAAGTATAAAATTTATAACTTCCATAATACTCTATACTAATCAAAATCATGGTTCAATTTTTTTGAAATGACAAAGTTTTTTAGGACGGAGGTAGTATGAAAATTGATAATTGTGTGGATTTTTGGATGATGACTAAGTTTTAATTTATCGAAAAGTGGCATTGTTTGGCATTGGTATGGCATGTGACGTGCACTTTGTCACGGTGCGTCAAAATAATTTTCAATACTAACACTTATACGTAGTATAGCGTAGTAGAGTTCGTATCCACAAGGAAAAGAATAATTCTCTTTTTATGATACTTAGTAAATAAAAGGGGGGATTTAGATTGAGTGATTTAATTTAATTAAGAACTAAGATGAACAACCTATATGTGTTTAATTCAAAGATAAAAAGGACTTGGCATTGCTACTTTCCACTTGTTGATATATTTTAGTCGATCATTGTTATATCTATAACTTATTCCCTCTCGAATACTCAATCGGGGAGTATATCCACTTCATCGAGGGTAGTTATTAACAACGACCGTTCATTAATAACCCTTACTATTAATCAAATATAGAACAACGCCTTATACCGATTTAATAGTAGCATTTAATCTTTCTAACTCCTTGATGAAATCAATTGAGATTGATAACCTCAACACAACGGTTTCGGTTTAACCAACACAATTAATCCCTCTTAAGTTTATTAACCACGACCGTGCATTAATAAACCGAAGTTACTTACTTGTGAAACCATCAACGATTAACCATCGGTTCGTTCATCGTTTCTAGTAATAATTAATATATGAAACAAAAGTAGTTGATCCTTTAAGTAATGTTCAAAATATTAATATGAAATATGAGTAGGAATCAATAAATATTCAAGGAAGAATATTATTAAAGAAGATGAATCCTACTATAATTAATATCAAGATGTTAACTAATTGTCATCTTAGCAACACTCCACAACATTAATATAGAGGAAGAAAATACCATTCTAACTAATGTCGAGATGTTAACTAATTGTCATCTTAGCAACACTCCCCAACATTAATATAGAGATGATATTAAGGAAAGAACTATTAATTAATATTCAAGGAAAGAAGTTAAGAAAATAACTCACAACTTTAATAATCAACAAGCTTCAAGAGCAACACCAAGAATGGAAGTTTAGCTCCTCATTTGGAGACTAAACATAGCTAGAAAAATATAAAGAAATGCTATTCTAAACTGAGCTTAGGAGTATGGAAGAAGGGATGATTTTTAGAGGAGAAAAAGAGTGCTATTTATAGGTGTTTTTCAACACCTTTGGCCGGGTACCCGACCGGGTATAGGTACATACCCGACCGGGTACCGGTCAGAATCAGATAATCTCCCACGTTTTTGTATTCCAGCACGTTAATTTGTCCCGGGTCAAGTCAGACCCGACCGGGTGGGGTAGGGTACCCGACCGGGTGAGTGCAAAAATTGGATATTCTTCACGTTCGGGTGATCTTTGCACGCCGGGTTGTCCCCGGTCACTTCTCACCCGACCGGGTGAGGTAGTGGGCCCGACCGGACCATGCACTCTCTTTGCATTTTCGTTTTTCACTTCTTACCCGACCGGGTAAAGTGTTATACCCGGTCGGGTATTTGCTCCTGGGTAGCCAAATCTTCTTTTTCTTCACTTCAAAGTCTTCCTTTCCAACACCACAAATCCTAACTAAACTTTACAACTTACAAATAAAGACTAAAATACAACTACAACTAAAATCACACAAATGTTTACAAACTAAGTAAAATGATAAACAATCATACAAATCCAACATAAAAATATACATTTATGCACTACTAATTAGTGCATATCAGCATGGCACCGGACCGTTTGAAAATGAAACCGAACCGAACGGGTTTAGGTCTAAAACCGAACCGAACCGAACCGTTTCAATAGTAACTGTCCGGGTACGGGTTCGGTAAAATATTGGACCGGACCCACCCACCCTTAGGTTTTTTTGTAGAAGCATTCAAAGAACACGATTCAAGTTCCATATCAAATCCAACTTCAAGGTCTACAAATCATATGAAGACACCATTGCGAAAATCTGAGAGAAAGAAGGTGAAAACAGACGTCGAAGTCAGATGATCGTTGTTGCGATATCAGAATGCGACCTTCCCCCATTTTATTCATATCTTTTGATTGGATGATTCAAATCCAGTTTTTCAAGTTGTGGTGGATTATGGGACTTCATTGTCTACAACTTTCATGAAGGAAGTATCGTCAAATTCGGAAGTGAAGAGCGCATACCGTGCGTCCGAAGTTAGACACGCCGTGCGTGTAGAAGGAAGAGGCGAGGAGTTACTGCCAGCCACGCACGGCCGTGCGTGGAAGAACACACACCGTGCCTGGCACGTTTTTGCGCGAACACTGCGTCGGGGGCACAGGGGACGCATGCCGTGCGTAGGTGCTGTGCGTGTGCTCCCGGTGTCCTATTTCGGTCAGAATTGCTCCATTTTTTTATTAAAAAGCTTGTAAACTCCTGTTTTCAAGGGGAATTTAGTGAGAAGACCTAACACGAAATTTTGAGAGCTTTCAAACTGTGTTCTTCAATTATTTGGGTTTATTTGTAAGTTCCTACTTTTTAATTAATGACAATTATTCCCAGTCTTCCCAATTCTATTGATTATTCAATTATGAGTTGTGAGTAGTTGTAATTAGGGATTTGGGATTGATGAAAGGATTATTCCTGATGTATGGTTAGGATCTTGATGGTTTAAATTGCATGAATCTTTATTTAATTTGTGTATGAACGATTTAATCGATATCTCTTGTAACCTAGAATTGCGACTAGAATTACAATTGCTGGTAGAATAAATTTAGAGAGATCTAATTTATTCTAGGATACCTTCACACACACTTAATCGTTCGCTAAGAGATTAGTAGCGATTAAGGGGCCGTATGCTTGATCGTTTTGGCAATAATTTAGGATCTTGTCGCATGAAGAGAGAAATAGCCGAGTACATCAGTAGATGCCTTACTTGTCAGCAAGTTAAGGCAGAACACCAACATCCAGCTGGGTTATTGCAGCCACTCTCCATTCCTGAATGGAAATGGGAGCACATGACTATGGACTTCGTGGTGGGGTTATCACGGACGGTTAAGAACTATGATGCTGTATGGGTTGTGGTTTATAGGCTCACGAAGAGTGAACATTTTCTACCTATCAACACCACCTATGCACTGGAGAGGTTAGCCAAGTTGTATGTGGATGAGATCGTGAGGCTACATGGGGTTCCGATAACCATTGTATCCGATAGAGATCCACGATTCACATCACGATTTTGGCCGAAGTTTCAAGAATCTATGGGGACAAAATTGAAATTCAGTACAGCTTTTCATCCGCAAACGGATGGGCAATCCGAGCGGGTTAGACAGATATTAGAGGATATGCTGAGAGCTTGTGTATTGGAGTTCCAAAGAAGTTGGGACAATCATTTGGCACTTGTGGAATTTGCCTATAACAACAGTTATCAGGCGAGTATAGGCATGCCTCCATACGCGGCATTGTATGGGAGGAGATGCCATACACCTTTGTGTTGGGACGAGGTTGGCATGGCCAAACTCGAGAGCACGGAATTGGTGGAGATCACCAAGTCAAAGGTAAAGATGATTCTTGAAAGACTTAAGGCGGCACAGGATAGACAAAAGAGCTATGCCGATAAGCGCCGAAGAGCCTTAGAGTTTAAGATTGGAGATGAGGTATTTTTGAAGGTTTCCCCTTGGAAAGATATCATCCGATTTCAGAGCCGAGGGAAACTTAACCCACGCTACATAGGGCCATTTGTAATTCTTGAGAGAATTGGGGCCGTAGCATACCGATTGCAGTTGACTCCGGAATTGGAGAAAATACATAATGTATTCCATGTGTCTATGCTTAAGAAGTATATTCCGGATCCATCTCGTGTACTAGAGAAACCACCCGTAGAAATACGGGAAGACTTGAACTACGCCGTGCAACCGGTAAGAATACTTGATAGGCAAGTAAAGAAGCTAAGAAGAAAGAAAGTTCCAATGGTTAAAATCCTACGGAAGAGTGACCGAGTTGAAGAAGAAAGTAGGGAGACTGAAGCCTTGATGAAGGAACATTATGCATTTCTATTTGAATAAGCATTGTGAATTTCGGGGACGAAATTCCCGTTAAGGGGGGTGAACTTGTGACACCGCACCCGGATGTACTTGAATTTGAAATTAAGTATGTATTTGATTTTTTCTAGCGAATGATTTCGTGTAAAAGAATGATTTATTTAATTAACGAATGATTAATTAAATTATTTATCGGGTCCATAATATTGAGAATGAGCTACTAAATAATTAGTTAGGTCATCATAATAATTATAAAAGCCCAATAAAATGCCAACCGAGGTTGAGGAA